AGCATCCGTTGCCTAGGAGCTGTGAAGTCCTCCTTGTTTAGAAGCTCTGAACGAGTTGTGAAAAAAAGCCGATTTCAAATGAGGAAATGGCTCTCTTACGTTTTTGAAAAAGGATTGTTTCTGCCGAACGGAAGATGGAAATGTAGTCCCGATCCCAGACGCCGATAATTCTTACCCATTAACAAGGAATTCTTGGATAAAAATAATCCAAGAAAAAATGATTAATAGAAGGGGAATGGAGGTCTTTAAACAGAAGTAAATCTTTGTATGTGGACAGGGTACGTCTCTTTAAGACTCCATCCTTTCAGCTTTTCTGGTTTCCGAGTTAGCAGTTTCCCAGCCAAAACTTTTGCGTGCCTGCACGTGAAAACCGTGCACGCCTGGGAGCTGAATTTGAAACCCATAAGTTGTACTTGAACAAAGGACATTCCCTTAGAATTTCATTTTCCCACCTTGTCTGGTTTCCCAGTTAGCAATTTTCCTTCTAAAAAACTTATATGTGCATGTGAGATCCCAACGTGCGTAAAAATTTGGTGCCACGGTAATGGGAAAGCGACCGGGGAACCCACTGGCAAAGTTCCAGCCTCAGAGCTTAACTAGTTGCCGTTTTAAAATATCCGGAGAGACGAACAAATGGGTAGCTGCAATATGCGTTTTTGCGTTTGCATAAATGCGTAAAAACGCATGAAAATGAGAAAGATGGAACGAAGCATCCACACACAGTTGGCTGTTGTTGTGCCACGTATACAATCAAATATTCCAGGAAATGTCTAACCCTGCAGGGAGGGAGCCGTAACCGCAGTGAAGTCGAAGTTGCCACCGAGTAGATGTATGCACAAAGCTGAGCCCAGACTAGGGAAAGGCGCTTTTATATAGGTCGAAAAACCCGTACTGCTGATCTCCTCAAACGGGATGACGGAATTTAGTTGCATCCCAATGCTCCAATCGAATAGAGCAGTAAGCAAGGGGACCAAAAACAATGCCTGCGGAAGATAACGGAAAGGGGGGATAACAAACGAGGCAGTGAAGGGACGAAAAAGGGTCACTAAATAATAAGCAATAAGTTATTCCTGTTTTCAATACAGCTGAATCCGAAACAGCAGTATTTACACCTTTCCTTTTTGGCGAGGACCATCGCTGGTCATGCAGTTAATGCAAAAAAAGATATTATTTAATTAGTCGGTTGGGCTGTGTTATTGGGCATCTTTTATGTTGGAGGGGAACAAGGCCGCAATCACAAAAACCATCTTTAAAATAGGTTAAACCTTTTAATAAACCAAGTGCACATATAAAACATAAATTTATCAGTGTACTCAGACAGAATGTAAAACCCAGGCTGGAACGCACCGGGCGGGCCGGTGCGATCACGCGTTTTTGCTCAAACTTCAAAGTACCGTCTCTCATAGAGGGGGAATGGGGAAGAAAGAAGGAGATTCCACATTATGCCACCACTCAGCTAAAGGCGGGGTTTAATCATTTGTACAAATCGATGAATTATCGGCCCATCGCTACCCCGAACAATGATCAGGACAACTTCAACTTCCTAGCTTTCCCGGTTCTGGTGAACTGATACACGCCTCATT